AAAAAAAAAAAAAAAAAAAAAAAAAGAAAGAAAGAAAGAAAAAGGGGCCGGCCCATGGTTCACTTGGGAGAGTGTGGTGCTGATGACACCAAGGCCACGGGTTCGGATCCCTATATAGGGATGGCCGATTAGCTCACTTGGGAGAGCGCATGGTGCTGACAACACAAAGTCAAGGGTTGAGATCCCCTTACTTGTCATCCTTTTAAAAGAAAAAAAAGAGAAAAAATTACATTTGGGTAAAACCTGGAAGTTTTTTGTTTCATATTATATAGACAGAGCTGGAAAAACTACTCACATTAATTATGTGATTTTACAAACAGAAAAGCAGAGGGGAAGTTCAGTGTCAGATAAAGTTCAGGTTTACTAAGTTCAAATGAATTCAAGACTTAAAAGAGGTTATTATGTTTTACCTGGAGTTTTTGCTCCTTATGTCTTAATATTCCATTCTTTTCAAGAGAGGGTGCCACTACCATTTATTCAAACAGTATTTCTTGAACACTATAATGGATCTGGCTCTGTTCCAGGACCCTGGTATCTTAGAGTTTACCTTTTAGTGGAAGTAGACAAATATATGTAACAAATGTATGTCAGGTACTGCTAAGTGCTTTGAAGAAAAACAAATGAGGGTAAAAGAGATAGTGTCAGGGTGAAGGGAAAGTGACAGTAATGTTATATGGAGTAATAATATTTTGATAGAAACCTGAGGTAGGAACATGCTTGGTATATTCAAGAAGCACCAGAGTCTTAATGCAGGACAAGTTTGGGGTATGAGATGAGAGTTCAGTTGTGCTTATGTTCTATCTGAGGTGCTTACTAGTCATCCAAGTGGAAGTATCAAGTAATCAGGTAGTACATGTTTGGAGTAAAGGAAGAGGAATTAGGGCTTAAACAACCAGCAAAAGAGACTGAGCAGACGTGGTCATGGAGAAAGAGGTTGGTTTCCCAGAAGCTAAATAAAAAGTGTTTTAAGAAGTGTAGATGAGGATAAACAATGTCACATACTGATGATAGGTTCAATAAGGTGAGGACTAAGAAATAACTATTGGATTTGGGAGTGTAAAGATCATTGTCAGGGCTGACCCCGTGGCTCACTCGGGAGAGTGCAGCGCTGGGAGCAATGAGGCCGTGGGTTCGGATCCTATATAGGAATGGCCGGTGCACTCACTGGCTGAGTGCGGTGCAGGCAACACCAAGCCAAGGGTTGCAATCCCCTTACCGGTCACAAAAAAAAAAAAGATCATTGTCAAACTTGTGAGCTGAAAGAGCAGTTTCAGTGAAGTTGTAAAGACAGAATCCAGATTGGAGTGGGTTCAAAATAAACTGATGAGATGAAGTAGAGATAATGGATTTGACCAGTTTTTTAAAGACATTTTGGTGTAAAAGGAGGGTAAAGAAATGTGGTAGAAGGTATGCTTTAAATGGTTGAAAAACATTGTTAAAACGCAGTGTCCAAGTCAGGGCACATAAACTCACTTAAGATGGGTTTATTTGGTCCTTTCTATGTTTTGGTCTAGCTCATCTTCAGATGGCCAGTAAAAAGTATAGGAAATTTTAGCAGTGAAATTATCATATAGACACACTGTTGCAGTTAATTCTTATTATTCTGAGTATATAATCATTACATTATGCTTTGGGTCTCTGTTTGTAATATTTCACTTAATCTTCATAACATCTCATTGAGGTAAGCACAATTAGACTTATTTTATATAATAAGGAAACTGTGGTTTACAGAAGTTAAATAACTCCTA